GCCATTCTATTTGTGGTGTAAAGATCTCATTGTAAAGTATCTAGACCCACTTGGACCCAACACAATAGACGGTTGGAATCCACTTTAATATTTAATTAAAGTCACCAAAAAACTATTTTTTTCAACATAGAAATGTAGTATGTACTAGATTATAATGTACTCCGAGTGACGGAACGTGTCTCAATTCCCTGTCGTCGACACTCCGGATTACCCATGATGGAGTTTAGGTCTTGTTATGTTTTCATGTGCATTCATTTCACATTGAGTCGTGCAATTCGACTCCTCGGCCATCATGCATCGAGATGCGTGATTGGTGGCACGAGGATCGAGGACTACACTTCCTGAAGAGTAGTCATGCATACATATGTGAAAATACTTTGCCATGCCCCTTTGTTGCTCTTTGTTGCAACAAATCAGAAATCAGCAATCTTCCGGAGCCTGGCACGCATCCCAAGAATAATTGCAAACAGAGGCAAATCGGGGCATCGCAGTGGATTTTCATGCAAGGTGACTCAAGCATGCATCATCCATCATTCGGAACAGAGCTGAGGTAGTCCACAGATTTGCGTGCCAATTTACTGCTTTCCTAGATTAATTTGTTAATTAATTAGGATTCTGTATTTATTCGAAACTGTATTATTTATTCATTTGGGACTGTATTATTTATTCGGACCCTCTGCGCGAGGGCAATGTTGTAATAAGTGTGCGTGTGTGTGATGTATGTCTTATAACCCCACGTCTTTCTCCTTTTTATTTATCAGCTTATGATGGTTAGATTAGGGCATGTTTCAATTAGCATACAGTATGATAGCATGTTTGCATTCATTCATCTGTCTTGCATGCACCGGGCTCGGCGCATCATACTAACTGTATTTGTATCTCAATTCCAAGTTGAATACATGATAGTTGTAGCATTTCACATGCCATCTTTAGAATAGCCGAGCCTATCTTAGTCGCATTTTGCATGTGTTGCATTAGGCATTTCTGTATAGTTAGGATCATATATGGATTTCTAAAAAGCTTTTGTTTTGGCTTGGAGTACTCAGTAAGTGTTTATGCTTTAGCATCCTTGCATGTGTGTGAGTGACTGCCATGATAGCATGCTTACCATGAGGCTATATGCTTATGTGATATAACTGCCTGAATGCCTATGGGTGAAGGTTGGATTATTTGAATTGGAATAAATGCATTGACTGTGACTTTTAAGCGCACTAGAGAGTGGCAAAATCATGTTTTTCTAAGCCCACCCGAGGGTGGCAAATCCACGTCTTAGCCTACTTGCGAGTAGCACCATCAAACCACTTTAAAAAACAAACTTGAAATGTTTTGTTCCAATTCATACGATCCAGTGTATACTTGTATGCTGTGCGCATCACATAGTAAATCTAGGCTAATAACCGGAATAAGAACGCATAAAGTTTTCAAAACTAGATATCATGGTTAGTAGAGGCCGATCTTTGATCGGGCGAGCGGGGGTGCTCACGAAGTGACCTTCCCCAATCGTACCCAAGTTCCCGAGCCGAGGCAACTTTGGTGATGACGGACACGTGGCCTTAGGCAAACGAGTCAGGGTTTCCTAAATTTTCCCAAAATAAAACATTTAGGTGGCGACTCTGTAACTGGCAAAGCAGTCCATGTTTGGCACTTCTTTTAAAAAAATATGTTTTCTCAAAACGATTTGCCGGATTTGGACTCTTTGGTTCAGATTAAGAACCGTGACAATATGAGTCCGAACTGTAGTGAGCCCAAATGAACAGAACGGGACTCATCCTCCCGGGGCGTTCGGGGACGTCTACAGTTTCTGGCGACTCTGCTGGGGAATTAGAGAACTTGACTCGAACTCATGATATCTTGTTTTGACTACACTTATGTGTTTCTTTGCATTGCATTTGCATTAGTGCGCCTAGAACATTGTGTTTGCCGTTTGCTATTCCTGAATGGTTTGCCGGAGGCTTGTCTTGTCAAGGCATGACCAT